CCCTGCTCTTATTACTAGGTTCTCTAACTTTGAGTTTGAAATGACCATAACTTATGTTGCATAGCTCTATTTTTAAAACCATATAGACCATTGGAAACCTTATTTTCTCCTTTTTAATTTTTCATATTGATTATAACTTTCTCATTTTTCTATTCTAAGTTATGATTTTTTTAGTTTTAAGTGTCCAAATTTGGCTTAAATTAGAAAAATGTCATTGATTCAGCGCCTTTGTAATTATTGCTCATCAAGCCACGTTCTTTTGACATCTCACTAATCTCTACACTTGATTCGTATTGGTTCATCTGGTCAAAATCGTGGATCCATGCATTTGGATTAAGGCTCCGTTTGGGAGAAATTTTTTGGCGCTGTGCGGGCCTTTGCCGCGATTATTCGCGAAAGTTCGTCGTTTGGTTTGCGACTTTGGCTTTCGGCTTTGCGGAAGCTGAGCGAAAGCGGGAAGCGGTATTAACCCCGCTGCCCCGCTTTCGCAAGAGATTTTTACCTTTTGCCCTTTTCTCTCCTCTGCCCTAGGATCTTCCCCGCTGCTTCCCTCGCGTCCTCTTCTCCTCCTTCTTTAGCCGTCCCCTCTTCTTCGCCTTCTTTTGCCGACCCGCGATTGACAAAGCACAGGTAAAGACGAGCCATTTTCTTCGTTTATTATTGGATCTGAGAGGTTTCCGGTGCTTTTTTGCGAAATTGTAGATCTTGCACCCATATTTGCATGTATGCTGTGCTTCATTAGATTGTTTTGTGGTTGAGGATTTGCAAACCGTGTTTCATTAGATCTTTGCTCTATATGGTTGTCTCCCCATTCGAAACATATGCAAGATGAAATAATTCTTTGAGGCTTTTGGAGTTTGGTTTGAGGGCTCGGTTCTACTCCCCTGTTATTCGTAATATAAATGCATGATTTACCTTTTGTTTGAAGGCTTTTGGAGAGTTTTCTATTGGCTTGGTGGCTCTTTCCTGCTGCCTCAAACCCGGTGGTTTTTTGGTTTCCTCTTCTTCGCCTTCTTTTGCCGACCCGCGATTGACAAAGCACAGGTAAAGACGAGCCATTTTCTTCGTTTATTATTGGATCTGAGAGGTTTCCGGTGCTTTTTTGCGAAATTGTAGATCTTGCACCCATATTTGCATGTATGTCGTGCTTCATTAGATTGTTTTGTGGTTGAGGATTTGCAAACCGTGTTTCATTAGATCTTTGCTCTATATGGTTGTCTCCCCATTCGAAACATATGCAAGATGAAATAATTCTTTGAGGCTTTTGGAGTTTGGTTTGAGGGCTCGGTTCTACTCCCCTGTTATTCGTAATATAAATGCATGACTTCCCTGCTGCCTCAACCACGTTAGCTTATTGGTTGAGAGGAAGGCTGTGGGTTTTTTCCTGCTTTTCTGTTGTGGATCTTTAGCTTCTTTGATACTATTCTTTGAGGCTTTTAGAGTTTGGTTTGGGCCTTGGTTCTGCTTTGTTTCATTACCCGTTGCTATTATTATTCTGTTTGTTGTAGTTATAAGATGGTCTTTTGGCGCAATGCATTCAATTGTTGTGTGGGAATGTACTCCTAAATTATGTCATTGTTGTGTTTCATTTGTTTACTTTATCATAGTTTTAACATGGTTGGTAAGGCTAGAGAACATGATATACAAATAAATCATAGATTTTAAACGATTTTAAATAGGGGCAGTTCGGTCATTTTTACATGAAACAGCTGGCTCACAGCATTTTTCACGCAGCTACACCAAACAGACAATCAGCTTCCCCACATCTGCTTTCTTACAGCTGCTTCCGCTGCTGGGGGCAGGCCAGCTGCAGCTGAAAAGCTGAGAATCTGCAGCTGCGCCAAACAGACCCTAAATCAATACCATTAATTTCAAATAATCAATTTCTCAAATAATCAACTTGCTCCTCAAATCAAGCCGTCCAAATCACCCCACTACCTCCAAAACCGCCCCACGCCCTCAATTAACCCGCCGTAAATCCCCATAGAGCAAGAAAAATGATCACAACGGTAGGGAATTCAACTCCTCTCTAAATTCCAAGGTAAATTCCTCTTCTTTCTTCCGTTTTTCATTCAAATTCAAAATTAACCGTTCATTTCTTTACCTTCCCATTTAATCTTCAAACTTACTTATCAATTTTAAAGTTCATTAACTAATTTTAAATTTTTTTAGTTTATTACCATGTTATTTGTTTTACAATATGTGTTTGATATGTTATATAAACATTCACCATGTTTTCACCATGTTCACCCGAAAATCAACAGCATATATGTATTGAACCATATAAATTTACACATTACATGTTTACATATTTTTTTTTAGACCAAGACCAATCTAAATTCAAATCATGGGGCTTTTGTCTTAAATGAATTGCAATAGGTTAATTGCATGTTGTTATATATATTTAAAATGTTTTCAAGTACTTTTAGCCCAAAGCTAAAATTTTATGACATGTTGCACAAAGTTTTTGATTTATTCATGTAGTAACATGTTAATCAAGTAATACTATAGGCAATTCAACATAATTTCATGTTGACTAAAATAAACTTTAGAATTTATAATGTTACCATGTTCTATATTGCGTAGGAAGTGAATTATCAGTGGGGCTTATATAGTTTAAGGATTATAATATGTAATTAATATTTGTCTTTCCCATACTTCATCAAAATTAACATGTTAACCCATATAAAACCCAAAACAGAGAGCCATACTCCCTTTTCCTTTAGGACGAGAACATCGGTTAAATATTTTCTAATTACTTATATTTAGTATTAAATTTTAATTAAATAACATTAATCTCTTTTAATTAACCTTAAACAAAAGTTATACCCTCTAATTACCTTACTAATCCCATAAATTTATGCTAACCGAAAGCCTAAATTATTTAATAATTTCCTCAATTTATTAATTAAATTTAATCGCTTTTTAATAGCGTAACAAAAAATTACGCCTAAATTAATTAAGTTAATAAAATCATTAGATACTTATTTAACTTATTAAAAAAATTAACAACTTAAATAAGAAATTAACAACTAAAAATTTAATTTAATTTAACTTTAATGAATCAACAATTTGATTAAATAATTAAATAACCTAAATTTTGGTAACCTAACTAAATAAAATACTAATTCAATAGTTTAATAATTAAATGATTTAATTACACTATAATAATTAAATAAATTAATTAATCCAACAATAAATCAATTAAAGAATTAAATAATTAAGTAATTAATTAAAAACACGGTATTCTATATGAATAAGTGAGATGAATTAATTATACCATTAATAATTAATGAATTGAATAATTTAATTTAACTTTGATTTAAGTGGTACTTAAATCAATTACTTAATATATTAATTAAATAACTTTAATCAATCATCAAATAATTTTTAATATTAAATCTATATAAATATAATTATATATATACATATCAGAAGATAGAGGGATTTTATATTTCTCTGTTATTTCTGCTCCGTTTTTATTGGTTCCTTTTGCTGTTTAACTGTTTGATTCTTCATGTTTTATTCTGAGTTGCATTTTGGTAGCCTTTTTCACCCCGTTTTATCTGTTTTTCACCCCGTTTTGTCTTCAAATTTGGATCGTCATGCTGGTTTTCATGTTTTACCTTTTTTGGCCTGCTCTTTTTGGATGCCTAGGATCTCATTTGTGGGTATTGGAGTTG